CATGCATCATTATCATCATCACCACTTCCATGCATCATCATCATCATCACCACTATCATGCATCATTATCATCTTAATCACCACTATCATGCATCATTGCATCATCATCATCATCACTAGCCTGTATCATCAACATTATCGTTCTGCATCTGCATCCTCTTCACTATCATCACTAACCAACAAATTAATATCATCATCACCATCAGTACCATCATAATCGAGCATCATCACCACCACTACCTCCGTCATCATCACCATCATCATTTTATTATTATCATCGCAATCATCATCTGATATTCAAGATGATCATCATCATCAACATCCCATATAACGCTCATTCAATACCATCACAACCACTAACAGCTATTCAAAGGATATCTAATGAGCCACAAAAGAGCAGGCGTAGCTCAGTTGGTTAGTGCGCGACCTTCAGAGCTTGAGGTCCACGGTTCGATCCTTAGGATATCCACGTCTGTTTCGACTTTTCTCTAATCTGTGTAGCTTTAGCTTTAAATACTCTTAAAACAGAGCACTGATGGAGAGAGGGGGGTAAAGTGCGCACCGTCGGCTTCCATTGATAGCAGTTGAATTTCAACTGAAGGAACTACCGACGTTAAATATAGGTATTTTACTTTACTTTTAAGCTAGTATAATAATAAGACAACAGGATATGTACCTTGTTCCTTGACAGCAAAGTTGACTATGGTTGTCTTGGTGGATATCTCAGGAGTATAGTGCGGGTTACTTAGTTTAGTAGTGATGTAGAACCTGAAATCAGGGCTGTACTCTACTTCCTTGTCACCAAGCTTGATTAGATAACGACCGCCTTGCAAAGGAAACAAACGAACGATTTCATGAATCACCTTACCTATCTACTTTGTGCCAGGTATAAGGCTACATTTTTAGGTATAATAACTCGGTTACTTGCTGATTGTTAGGCGAAGGAAGAAAAATCAATGCTTTACTTACCAACTTTTATAAGTGACTTGTTGAGGATTGGAGCTAACGATGGATCAAGCTCTTCCTACGACAGCGAAAGGAGCATTGAATCAATGGATATGCTATACTTCGTGGTAGAGTGGCAAAGGCAAGTGGCAAAGGGAAAGGAAAGGTGGTGTCTGATGGTAGTGGCAGGGGGAGCAAAGAGGGGGAGGGGGAGGGGGAGCGGGGCCCGAAGAGGGAAAAAAAAGGGGCACTGGTGAAAAAAAAGTTTAGGACAGTATAATAAGGGGATGTTTATACCGATGTCAATAGCTAACGCTAGGAATGGTAAAGAAACTATCATTCAGCATTTTGTAAGTGATGTTGTCAGGAACTAAGAAAAGGGGTAAGAAATGGAAGAATGGAAAAACAGTAAATAATAATACCTGAACGTTCTGTAGAAGCACAGGGTTACCAAACTGTACAGCATTCTCTAGAGTTCTTAGATAGTCATGCTGCTGCAAGTCAATGATGTTCAGACCCTATAGAGAGAAAACAATACCCATCATAATGTAGTCAGCCTTTCACGAGTTCTATATCGGGTCATTTAAGAGAAATTAAACCTAATGTCTTGGTTTTCAAAGCCGGCACTTTTCGTTACTAGTAGAGGACGCAGAACAATCAGAACGCAGCATTGATTCAAAGATAAGACCACTAGTTGGATTTGACCAAAGGGTCTTATACCAACCTTCTTTGTTTCCATATTTTTGATCCATTTGAGCGCTTGTCCTTGAGGATCGATCATTAGAGGCCATCTGATGTAGAAACAATAATAGCGCATTAGCATTGTAATGTAAATGTATGCATTTATTAATGCTATGGGCTGACTAATGCAACAATAATGCTGCTCGTGTTGCTGTTGCTCTCACTGATAATGCCTATGCTACTCGTGGTGATGCTGCTGCTGATAGTGATGCGGCATCATATCTGTTCTACTATTGCTGCGATGATGATGTTGGTGATGAAGTTACATTTGCAGCGGCTGCTGCTGCTAAAGATGATGACATCACTGATGATGCAGATTGCAGCTCATGATGATGATGACAATATTATCGCTGCTACTGATGCTGTTACTGATGCAGATTACTGACGTTAATCATTATATCGTTGTTGCTGCTGCTGCTGCTGMTGATGATACAGTTGCGGATGTTAGTGATGGTGAAGACAAACACCCACACGTACATATTCTTACCTATTGCCTCTAGTGACGATAACACCGTTTTCAGTAGAAAAGGCATCAGACGGCAAGCCCTACAATTCAACATAAAAAAAGACATTTATAACAACGTTTTTATAGACAGTACCACAAGACACAGATCATGGCACCCTCATACCTGTATGTTCCATTCTCGTACAGTAGTGGGCTTGGCCAGGAACAACGAGAAGCTAAAGTTTGGGTTACAAGGTAAGTTACACTGCCGGACCTGGTGATCCAAAACATTCATAAAGACGTGTTAAAACAAAGCTCTACGACCAAGTTAGGGGGGACGGGATGGTGTAGTGGTAAAACACCTCTGAGGTCCTGTGTTCGTTTCCTAAACTCCCTTGTAAGCTGAGTAGGTTGCTTCTCTTTCTGACTCTGAGGGCTCTCCGTTTTTTCTCTCTCCCCTCCTCTCAGCCAACCCTAATTCAAACTGGTTCGAGCTGTGCTCAGGGGTCATACATAGATTGTATAGCAGCTGTCAGAGGGATTTAAAAATTGAGCCTTGCCGCTTCTGTACTTACGGTGATGATTAGCGATTGACAAATTTTTAAAATAACTCCAGCAGGGGCACCAAGTATTCAGGAGTTTTGGCGTCCGTCAATCAAATTTACAGTGATCTGAGTTAGAAGTTTTTTTGTTTGACTAAAGCCAAAAAATTAGAGGTCTGGAAGTTGTTGAGGTTTCAAACAAAACAACAGCCCTAAGCCTTTTAGTGGTATTACAGGTGAGGCATTATCATATACCTGTGCAAGCCATGTTTTCTCAACGAGTTCATCTCTGTAGTTGGACAAGAACGGACCAGCGTAAGACAAGAAAGCCGCAGCTATCAGACAGTCACCCACCAGGTATCCAATGTTCTCGTCCAGAATCTAAGAGATTAGAAACAAATTATAAAAAGATGGACTGTATTGAAAATAAAGATGGTATTGCTACGATGGCTTGTGATTCTAGAAGATCACTATGAGACAGGCACGTGACAACTATAAGCCTTCCCATTGAACCTCCTTGTAAATTAAAGGCTTTGGTAAAGGTTATTTTTCTAAATAACAGTCCTGTGATAAAAACGTTTGACAAAAAATTTGACAGACACGCAAAAAAAGACAGTCTCTGGAAGGCGTATGTAAACTTAGTAAAAGGATCTATGTAATTTCTGTAGTAATATAGGAGTAGCTGCTTATCGTATTACTTACAGATACGCTAGCTTCCCAACGATCTCTTTCTCCAGCCAAACCAGACACTAGCTTGCCAGCGCGATCAAGTTTGATTTCGAGCATCTCTGCTTTCTTACGCAGTTCTTCCTTCTGAGCTGATTTCTCGTCGTATTGTCTCTTTAGTTCCTCCATACGATCTGTGACCTATGAGAGCATGTACTGGAGTGAGAATGATTATCAATATCATCACCTTCGATCATGATCATGATCATCTTTATCAACAACCCTTTCTTAAACTTCATCAACTATCAACAAAATCATAATTGATCAACTACCGCCACCGCCACCGCCACCGCCACCGCCACCGCCACCGCCACCGCCACCGCCACCACCAGTTGTGCCATCTTCAGAGTACCGCATCCTGAAGAAAAAGAAAATGCGCGGGCGTGTCGTGTGCAGTGATAAGGCACGCGCCAATCAGAGAGCGAGATTTATACGAGTTATTTTATAAAACATTCCATTACCTCTTTGAGCTTCGCTTTGGCATCAGCTAATATAGCCTGTTTCTCTGCTAACTGTTGTGTAGCCTGGTTCAACCTCTGCCTCTTTGGTTCCACTACCCTGTATATTCGTCCATACACCTCCATGGCCCTGACCCACATGCACAGTGACTTGGCAGCTAAAGACACACGACCAATGATCTCAGGCTGGAAGTCTGACTGAGAGCAGTATGTGCCGATCTTCTTCAGTACACGATCAGTCATGTTGTCTTTGTCGTAGTTTACTAACTGTTTGATGAAGTTACCATCACCTGTGGGAAAATGACCGATGGTATTCATGACAAACTCATGAAAAAAATACGTGCAATATACAGCCATTTCAAACAAGGTTGGTGAAGGTTGTGTCGCATGTTGGATACTAAACCTAATGCACTAGGAGCGACGTGAATGCCATCATCAGCGAAAAGTCAAAACATAAAATTTTCCCAAACTTAGTGTACACGTTTTCCAGTATATTTTCTTGGTATTTACATATTTTCTCATTATTTACATATGATCCACAAGTTTGGTATGCTACATGCATCAATACCTTCATCAACTTTTCGTGAAACAGTTGTATGTGCAGTCGAACGTTTTTCCGTCCGGCCCTACAGTCAGGGCCGTATGGGCCGTATGGTTCATATGATATATTTATTTACCGAGCTGTCTCTTTGCCTCCGCCCAAGTGGGTTCTGCGCCTCTCAGAATCATCACCGCTTCCATGACCTTTTCTACCAAGGCAGGGGGTCTGCCATACGACTTGATTTCAGTCATGTCTTTCTTGTTCAATGACTCGAGAGCTTTCATGGCTTCCTGTAAAGCAGGGATGGCTTCGTCGAGATCTTTTTGAGCGTTCTCTGCCATACTGCGGCATTTCTCTTCTTCTTCGGCGATCTTCTCGCTTCTGGCTTGGACGATCTTATTAAAGAAACCAAACATTAACTACATGTAGGATACGCGTGATTAATAGATCTACCCTATCTATTGGTTAAATTGTCTCGAGGAGACCTATTGCAGGATTGCAGAAATATATCGTTTGAAAGCGACCTACTTTCTGCTGTTCGTCAGCGTCTCGTTTCTGTTGCACAATGACAACTAGATATTCCTCGCACTGCTTCTGGAATTCGTTGACTTTGAGTGTTGCTTCTTCCAGCTCCACCGACATCACCTCGACCTGTCACGCAAAACAAAAGATTAGTCAGGCTACTCCATAACATTCATTTGCGTCACGCAAGAACGGTACCACAAAAATAAGGCCTTCAGAAATAGAGCAGATAGCGCACGGTGCGATCATGGAACGGCGTACAAGTATAATCTTTATTGAATTAATTTGTCGTCACGGTCACGCAACAGCACGTCAGGTATTAAGAAAAAAACTTGTCATCGCTTATCAGCACCGCAAGTGAGTGGCGCAGCTCAAACGGGGTCGAACTGAAAGCATGCGAAGGCGAGCGTTTTACCACCACGCCATCATGACTCCCCACAGTACGAGAAATCTGCTTTAATTATCACAAACATGTGTCCCATTTCTCCTCTACCTTTGCTCTAGTATCATCAATCTTCTCCAATCCATTCCTCAGTTTACTCGCCGCATCGCCCAGCTCTTTCTTCTTCTCCTTAAGAAGAGTCTGGTAACCTGACACAAGCTCCAAATAGTTAGTAGGCGTTACGTAGTTGTGTCTCTTAACCTCTAACATCATGCGGCTGGACATATCGACCACCGACCGATGAACGACCACGAACACTTCGGCCACAGCCGGCTTTAATTCATCATCACCAACATCGATGTGTTCCAGGTATTTTTCAGCCACTTCCAGGAGAGCATCTTGAGGCCATTCACTAAACCAGTCGATTGTCGTACAGTTTACGAATGCTGGGTACATACGAATACGATTCCTGAAAGACCCAACGAATTTAGACTGTAAAGCCCCGTTTACATTGGCGATTTTTGCGGCGATTTTTGCGGCGATTTTTGCGGCAATTTTCGGAAATATGAAATCTTTTGTCTCATCCTTCAAAAGAGACATTCGTCTAGGGAAATCTTGGTATCCTCCTTTACAAGTAAATTGTTTACCATTATTTATTATGGACAAAATCGCAAAAAAATCGCAGCAAAGATCGCCGCAAACATCGCTAGTGTAAACGGGGCTTAAAGAACGTCATGTGCCATGCGCAAATTATAAATGACGAAACCATAGAAACCACTCTAGGCGATGATTCACGAACGATCCCCGATAAACTCACGAAAAACATGCGAAGAAATTTACAAACAATTCGTGATGGATTTATGAACATGCGATTAATTCACGAACAAAATACGACCAATTCACAAATGCGAGATAATCTCRCGAACTATGAATCCAGGAATACGCCACAATTCCCCAATATCTTAAAGGCGTAAAGTTCCTTTTTTTCCATTCTATTTACCTGAATGGATCACCAACAGGACTCATACACAACACAATGTGTAAGTTATTACGCACTCTTTCGATGAAGTAAGCAAACATGGACTCTGGAGTATCTGCGATTCCATCCTTACGAGCGGAATCAGATAGAGCTGTACGAACCTAAAACAACACAGAAATGACATTATATCGAAAACCTTGGCTAACAATTAATGAATAATGAGAACAGATGAGTGGCGCAAAAAAGACGGACTCCGCCCTCCCTCCCTAGGCCCTCCCGATCAAACCCCGAAACAGGCAACCCAAGTGGTAAAAAGCACTAGCGTTGGATTTGTATTACCTCCTCAAACTCGTCTGGTTTGTACAGATTAGGCACCTCTCCACTACTGAGAATGTTGTTAATATCTTCTAGGAACGTCTCCTCCAAGACTTGCGTGTCGGTGAACAGGAAGACAGTTGGTTTATTCTCTACACCAGCCATGTAGTAAAGTCGCTTGATATCTATGACAAGCAATAAAACAGTTGTATAAATAGTGTTGAAAGAGGGAGGATTACAGCTTGTGGGTACCCTGTGGTAATTGACGTAATGGTAAAGAGGGATTTTATACACGCGCGTGAAAAGTAATGCCAAACATAGAACGGCATCAGCAACGGCCATTAAACCAATCACAGCACAAGAGAATTTCGTTCATCCAATCAGGAAGTTGAGACACCGTACCGTTACGGTCACAGCGCGTGCTTTTTCATTGTAATACGAAATATTCTCAAATGAAAAATACAAAAAGATATACACCTATTCCAAAATACGTTGTCGGAAGGAGATCTGAATGGGCGATCTGAGTGGACTAAACAGAATTTTTGTGCTTTCACTTTTCTGGCTAAAATACGAACGATCACTTTTTATAACTCAAAGGTCATTGTAAATTAGACGACCCTCTGTAAAGAAAAAAAAAATTTTTTGTATTGTTGTCAAGTAAGAATTATAAATGTTGTAAATAATATTGTAAAAAATAAATAAATAAATAAAAAATTAGATGTATAAAAAATTAAAATAAAAATAAAAATAAAAATAAAAAAACCTCAAAGGTCATGCTTCGTATTCAATCTAAAAGGAAACTACATTATTCAGTATTTGAGATTTCACACCTCCGACGGACAACGTTTTCTGAAACAGGTGTACAACTCACCATCTCTGAATTCTATGATCCTGTAGTGTTTAGTGACCTCAATCTGGAAGACCTTATACTCGATGATGTACGAAGCAAGGCGAGTCAAGCTCTGTCTACCGCTGCCACCAATACCAATCAGTAACATGTTACCCCTGGGCTGTCCTATCACTCTTATGATACGTGTGACTGGGGGAAAAAAACCCGAGATAAATAGCATTATTTACATACCATCGATATCAAGAAGTGGGACTGAGGACTAGAGGTACTCACCCAATGAGGCCCGTGGTCATTACAACCCAACGAGGCCTAGGGAGAGGAGAAACGTCGGTAGGAAGAGGGACAAGGGCTGGGTAGCTTTGCATAAAATGTTTAAGGAAGTCATTTTATTATTATTATTCCATATCATACGATATGATCATCTGAAATTTTCATCCGCAATTTCTAACCCTCTAGTGCATGAGCGGAGAGAATAATTCATATTTTAAATAATATCAAGTATGTCCTCCAAAACAGCCCCACAATGCACTGCGATGCCAACTCGAACCAGTTTTTCCTCAACCTCAGAACAGCTGATAGATACCGTGTTCAATAGCGTCCCGGAAGAGTACGAGGTCCATAGGTATTACGCCTGGTTCCATGCTGTAGTCCTCTAACTGGTCTTCCATGAACTTCTTGAGCGCCTTAAAGTCAGTCAGATCTTCGTACACTGAGCCGTCCTTCATGAAGTCACCTGGAGAGAATCAAATTAAGATTTCTAGGTTTAAGAAATTTCAAAAGTTTTACTAAGAACCAGTGAATCAATGCTTGGGCCGCTTGTGGTTTTTTCAGGCTTTTTTTTAGCCACTCGCTTTTATTGTTCATTCATCGAAGAGCATGGTTTTCATGGTTTTCCAGTAAACAGGTGGGACGTAGTTTACAGTCTAGCTCATGTTTCTTTCTATAGGAAAATAAAAAAACTCTTGCTTTTGCCCGCAAAACTCCTCTTGAAACACCTAAATGCGAGGCAACACGCGTGATAAAGGCTAACACTGTCAAACAAATTGTAAAATAGAGTAACAAGTTACTAACATACCAAAGATGGGTGGTAGTTTATTAGGGCACAGGTTATGGTAGGTCAAGTCGAACATGCTGCCTAGCTTGTCACTCAGTAGAGATACGAATGATTCTCTGTCTTGTGTGTCTACTAGACGGTCTGCAAACACCCTACATACAAAACCAAGCAGATATGGTAAGGCTACATGGAATTATCGTAAGTCCTTCCAGGCTAAAAGATCCCATTATTGTTATCATCACCATCAATATACAAGCAACACGGCAATCAAAACCATTACTAGCAGCAACATCAACATCACTACCACCATCAACATCGTCATTTCTACATCACCATCACCATCACCATCATCATCACCACTACCACTACCACCACCTCCATTACATCACATCATCATAACCATCATCACAAACACCACTATCAACTTCTTCATCATCATCGCTACTACCACCACCTCCATTACATCACATGATCATAACCATCATCA